AGTTGTAAACGTTTTCAGTGAACTTGGAAAACCGAGTGTGTAGTTGTTTTGGTGATTAGTGAAGATTCTCCTCGAGGGTGAGGAGAGGATACGTAGGTCAAGGGTGACCGAACTCCATGAACATTTCCTTGTGTTTATGTTTGGTATTGGCGCACTTATTCTTGTATATTTTTGTATCGCCTATTATCTCATGTTTATATCGCCCTTAGTTTAATTATATATCCTTGCAAATATATTATTATACATCTCATTGCTAGAATATTAGTTAATAAGTTTTTAATTTAGCATCAAAATTAGATTAGATTAGCAAATACCCTATCTCTCCCCCCTTCTCTAGGGTACTTTTAGGGGTGGTGGAGGAGAAAAGAAGGAACCTAGCATTGGATGAAGAGCATTGAGAGAAAGCATTAAGAGCATCTTGCACTCAGCCTTCAAACTCTAGCTCAGGTACTCGAACCCCAAAAAAACAAAACTTCTACTACACGAGGAAGTTTCTTGACAACCTTGTTCTAATCGTCAACGGGAAGCAAACTCGACTCAAACATCGAGTGAGACATCATTTCGCCTTAAAAGACCCCATGTTAAACAAAAGAGAGATCCGATCTATTCTCTCTTCTTTTGTGTAAAAGAGATTTCTAATTTATAATACACAAGTCAATCAATACAAATTTAGAATCATTTTTTTACAACCTACATCCGGTCCTACGGCTCGTCCACTTTTTATTTTCTTTAGAGCATCTTTAACCTCGCTAATCCTAATTTTACAACAATATCTATAGTTCCTATCATTCACTATATGGTCAAAATATTTATTTTGCTCACTTGTTTGGTTATCATTAAACAATTAATAAAAGTAACCCCTCCACATCTCTTTTATTTCCCCGACGGTCATTAGAACTATTTGATCCTCACTATTAATGCACCTAATATTACCCAAATCTGTACTCTTCCTTTCTCTAATCTTAGCAAACTTATATATATCTTTCTCTTCTTCCTTAGATTCTAACTTCTTATAAAAATTTTCATAAGATTTGTATTTATTCTCATTAATCGTTCTTTTTTGCTTCCTTCCTTACTAGTTTATATTTTTCTAAGCTTTACCTACTTCTACACTTTTGCCACTCTTTATATAAAGTTTTCTTCTCTCTAATAACCTTTTGCATGCTCTCGTTCCACCACCAACTCTCCTTACCATCTAATCTACAACCTTTAGATTCTCCAAGTATATCTTTAGCCACTTTTCTAATACAAGAAAACATGATATTCTATATAATATTAGTCTCATTATCTATGTTCTATATATCTTCTTTCATTATCTTATCTTTAAAATGTATTAAATTCTCTCCTTTTAAGTTTCAACATTTAGTTCTTAGTCTTCTGTTCACGTTAGTTTTTCTACTCCACTTTTAAATAGATATATTTAAGATCATCAATCTATGTTGTGTACTTAAACTCTCTCCTAGTATAACTTTACAACCAATCCGCCATTCTAGTAAGAAAAAGTCTATTTGACTATTATTAAAACCATTTTTAAAGGTTATTAAGTGTACATCCATTTTTTCTAAAAAGTGTATTTGCTATTATCAAGTCATACGATATTGCAAACTCTAGAATTGATTTACCCATATCGTTCTTATCTCCATACCCGAAACCTACATGTATCCTCTCATATCCGTTATTATCCTTACCAACATGCCCATTAAGATTCCCTCCTATAAGTAATTTCTTTCTAAATGAGATTTCTTGTACTAGTTCATCTAATCTATCCCAAAATTCCCTTTTAGTACTCTCGAGCAAACCTATTTGTGGTGCGTAAGTACTAATAATATTAATAACCTCTACACCTAAGATAACTTTTTATTAGTATTATTCTATCTCCAACTCTTATTATATCTACAACACTTTCTTTTATTATATTATCTACAAGAACTCCCACTCAATTCCTATTCTTCACTTTTCCCGTGTACCAAAGTTTATATCCGGTCTTTTTAATTTCTCTAGATTTTTTATCTATCCGTTTAGTTTTTTGTAAACAAATTATATTTATCTTTCTTCTAATCATAACATCCACTAATTCTATTTTCTTTTTAGTAAGTGTACATATATTCTAAGTAGCTATTCTAATTTTATTTTCTTGTAAAAGTTTCCTACATTTTTCCTCTTAGATCATTCCAGTCTATGCCTAATACTATTAGGTACCCTATTAGAGGATCGTAGATTCTTTGCACACCATTGCTTACTTGTCATTACACTGGGGTGACATCGATGTAATGCATCTCTTTCAGACGCCCTAGCAAACCACTCTTGTTTACTTATCATTGCATCATGGTGGGATCGATGCAACGCATCACGGTGGGGACGTCCCCAACGAGTATATAATATGATTCATTTTACATGTGGATCCGACTATGTTGTACACTGGCTGTCGGCTACCTAACACCACCCTCCTCCTTTATCCTGTCTTGGGACATGCAGTGCTGACAAACTACACTGGTGGAGTTACAAGAGGACCAAGAGCTGAACATAAAAATTAAAAATGCCAAAGGTCAGACATTAGAGCCTCTAGACAAAAAGAAACTACAAGGTGACAATATAGACAAATTTAAAAAGAACAATCAAGTTGTTTTTGCACCCATCAAGCAATTAGGTGAAAATTTGATGGTCATACATGATGATGTCGCATTGTTGGAGGAGTACCCGCATTGGCACAAGATCAATTGGATCAATTCGTTTTATCTTGACATTATTAACTGTAACAAAGAGCACGCTTACTCATTTCGAAATGATGACATTTGATTTGCACTCGCACCCTTACGCGGTGAACCAAGTGTAGAAGTTGCAAAGCCTAATGTTGGTTCTTTTCCTTTTGTGCAGGGTTTGGACGCTGATAAGCAAAGTCATCTGATCGATCATCTGCACAAGGAACCATTATCTAAGAAAACCTGCCACAAGTTTAAGATGAAGAAGATTATTGATTTAATTGAGTTTCATCTGATCAAGCTGCTTTAACTTTAGTCAAACTCAAGGATGAGTTTTATTCGTGGAGGGGAGAATGATGCAAGGCAATAATTGATATTTTCTAGAAGGAAAGCGGGACAATTGAAGAAAAACGGATAATTTCAGATCGATTTCGAGATGTAACTTTGGAGGATGATATCTTTTGACTCGCTACATAGAATCTTTATTATAATATGTTTTTGGAAAGCTAAGAAAGTTCTCTACATATAAAACTGATTATAAGATCCAGATAAGCTTCAAGTTCAAAGATATTCGTCTTCAGGCTCAGTTGCGTGTGAAAATTCTGGTTTCTAGTTATTTTAAGAAAGTCTCTTTATTTTAGTAGTCTTTTTATTTTATTTTTAGGAAGTTTTTTGGTTTCATACCTTATACAATGGGGATGTATTATAGAAAATCTTTTGTTTTTTTGTTTTTAGTACTCTTTTTATTTTAGGAAGTTTAAATGTTTAAGGAATGTCTTTTTATTTTTGGAAGTCTAGATGTCTTAAGAAAGATTATTTTAGTACTTTTGCTTTGTTTACACCCTATAAAAGGGGGATGAACTCTATGTTATTTTTAAGATTGATTATTACTATTTTCAGAAGTTCTTTATTCCTAGGATTTCTAAGGTTTGTGCCATTTTGCTCGTATAAGAACGAATAGTTATTTCTTTGATTACGCTTCCGCTACATCAGTGTCTCAGCCAGTGGCCCTATAACAGACCCGCCTTCGGACATTGACTGCCTACCGAAATGACGAGATCCACCGATTACGCTGCAAATGATTCCTAAAGAGAAAACCTGAATTAGTCAATGGATCAAGTAGTCATAGGTGCTCCATGCTCAGGCTTCATAATAAGTAAACACTAACCAAACATGTAGCCTAATACTTAGACGTAAAAACAACCTTATAAGAATCAGTCACTGACAATTATTTCGGAATTCCCTTCGTCCAGCGCCAAATACCAGTTTAAGCAGTCAGTATTATCCATAGTTTTTCCCTAGATGGTAGCACCCCAGAAGAGACCTGAATATAAACCAACTACAATTAACAAAATCCACCAGTAGAGACTTGGCTACTTTTTAATATATCAAACCTGATCAAATACAACATGTTATTGACCTTAGAATCAAAGAAATCAGAAAGATTCTAGCATACCCATCTTGGATATTACTTAACACTCTTTTATGTCTCTACTATATCACCTCTGGCAGGGGTGCATTCGGTCCGGATACAGCTCAGATATGATACTTACCATATTCATATCTGCTTACGTACCCATCTCGGATGCGGATACAGATATACATTGATAAGAAAAATACATATCCATATACACTAAAGGCGAATACATATATAGGTATACATGCGGATATATAAGCGGATATGTATGCAGATGCAAAACGGATATGAAAAAACTAGATAATATTGAAAAAAAATATAGTTCATGTGATAACAAAAGAGGTTCAATAATATGTTCATTATATCTGAAAAGCTAAGATTAAATATCTTGGTCATCAAAATTAACCTTAAACCTATAATCTAATGATTAAAAATATCGTAACAGTATGACTATTATGTTTTCGTATATTTTGAATATTGATCTAGAAATTTCACTACAAATCCATATCCATAATCATATCCTGTATGTTATAGATTTGAGTAACCATATCTGTATTCTAATGGATGTAGTTATGGATATTTTTTCAGACACGGATACGGTTTAGCACCCCTAACCTCTAGCATTAAACAAATTATAGGACTGATAAAACCTTACACTCTGGAACTTTCCAAAGAAAAATAAGTTAGTAGTTGTGCACCTGCTCAAAAAACCATTCTAGATCAAGATGAACTAGTCAATCTGAAACTTCCCTGGCTCCATCTGAACAAAGACTAATTCATTGAATAAAATTCCAACTACTCTTCCTATAGTTGAAAACAAGATACAGAAAGGTCATGAATGTTACTAAGTACGACCATGAACCCTCCCTATATATTAAACCAAGCAATGGCTGTATGGAACAGTACTCTTTGCTTTTCAACATGCATTGCCTCAAGCAATTCCTTCTTCCTCTTCTCTCAGTTTCCCTTCTTCTCAAAAGTGTTGCATCCACCTATCCTCTTTCTACATCATGCTCGAGCTCCGAAAAGTACAGCGATGGTGACTCTTTCAGCAATAACTTGAATCAGCTAATATTTGTATTGGCTACAGGCTCTCCCTCCCTTGGGTTTGGGCTTGGCTCAATTGGGCAAGATCCCAACAAAGTGAATGGCCTTGCTCTATGTCGAGGTGATGTTCCAAGCTCAGAATGCAAAAGATGCATTCACACTGCTGATGCTTATGTCCGAAGGCTCTGTCCCTTCGAGAGAGAGGCTATCATTTGGTTTGATCAGTGTCTCTTACGCTACTCAGATACTGAATTCTTTGGTGAAATCGATCATAAACATAAGTTATACTTGCAGAATACCCAGAATGTAACTATACCACAGCTACGATTTCAAGCGAAGGTTGTGGAGTTGATGTACTCCCTGAAGACAAAGGCTTATCTTTCGCCATTGCTCTTTGCTACCGGAATGATGGAGATAGGATCAGAAAAATTGTACGGGTTGGCACAGTGTAGCAGAGACCTTTCTGGTGGGGATTGTAAGAGATGCTTGGAGGTTGGGATAGACAAAATGGCTGGTTATCGAGTAGGGAAGAGAGGAGGAAGATTTCTTGGTGGGAGTTGCAATGTAAGATATGAATTGTACTCTTTCTTCGATTCGGACGATATACCTCAATATAGTCAAGAATAATACGATTTCATGACTTGTTTCAGTTTTCGGGTTAACTGCAAATACACCCCCC